ATAAAATTTTACAACTGATCCTTAAAGGCAAAATAGAGGGCCGTAGAGGTGTAGGAAGAAAACAAGTTTCTTGGTTAAAAAACATTCGTGAATGGACTTAGATACCAAATGCAGGACAATTATTCCATATTGCAAAAGATCGAGAAGCCTTCGCAATGGTGATCGCCAGCGTCAGATACTTCTGATATGGCATGCGAAGAAGAAGATATTTTATGTACACGATATGTATTGCTGTGAAGATCATAGCACCATAATCACAAATTATTTGTATATTATTACTCCGCTTCCTCTTCTTTTCTTATATATAGACTCCTAGGACTCGATTCTTTTTCGCTTTTTTCTATCTTATCTCCTACCATTCTACTTATATTTCGTACCATTCTGTTTCCGTTTTATTACAAATGTATTTATATCTTCTAGATTGCATACCCTTCGTAAGTTCTTGCTTCTCTATCCAGTATGCTTTTCTAATTACTGTTTTATAGATCCTTGTTTTTGTGTCTTGGCTTAGTTGATTGTTAGTATCATTAAGACATCACGCCACTTTATTTGCTCTCAAGACTTGTTGTCGAACTTCTTCTTCAATATCTTCATAACTACCTATATCTTTTTCCAAAACCTCATATCATGACCTTGACGTACTTCTTAATTATTTCGTTAATTACAAATCACCTTGGATTTCATTTTTTACTGGTAAAAGCTGTGTTAGTTTTCAATTTTCTTTGCCTGTAAGTTGTGAGGATTGGGTGTTGATGAGCCAGGTTGGTAACCTACATATTGTAAGACAAAACAAAGCTTAAAGCCTCGTATTTTATTAAAGTTACTAAAAATTAACTTTTTAGCAACTGTTTTTTTTTACAAACCATTTAATGCTATACAAAATAGTTACTAGAACTCCCATTTTTGTAGTACAATTGAAGGAAATCTGTCTTTGGTCTAAAAAACGTGTTAAAAGTTTGTTAGGAAAGTATTCTATTCTCGTGTTACGTCAAACTTTAGCAGTCCATTAGTAGTATACTTTCTTTACTAGTTTGTTGCGCAAATATTAGTGAATATAGGTGCTTCCGCTAGATGCTGTAAGAAGAAGTTAAAAAGTGACGCATGGCTTTACTAGTGTTAACCGCTGAGCTAAGGTGAGTTTTCTAATAGTTAATAAAATACTAGTATTAGGATCCTCTCACTCACAACAAAAATTACTCTTAGTCATTAACGCTATCATATAAACTTTTCGCCAACATAAACTTAGGCTTGAGCTTAACGCTTAGCCTCTTCGCACAATATCAGTATTCTATCTATAAGTGTCACAAAACACATACTATCATAGTACACTTTCACAGAAACCCTTGAGGTCGAGGAGGACATTGAGAGAGTAATAAAAGGAGGACGCCCCAAAAAGCAGCACTCCGTAGAAATTACGGAGATCACAGAAGTTGAGGAGAAACCAAGCATCGAAGAAATCAAGACCGAAGAAAATGTTGAGGAAAATCGAGATATTAAGAAAAAAGTTACTAAAACAAAGAGACTTAAAAAGAAAGATAGTGAAGATGAAAGAGTTGAGATCGAAGAAATTATTGAAAAAGAAATCGATATTAAAGGAAAAACGGCTAAAATAAGAGATCAGCAAGTAGAAGAGAAAGTAGATATAGAAATAGAGGAAATCGTCGACGAAACAAAAGACATTAAAAAGAAGATTACTATGTATAAACCAAGAACTAGTGAATACGATATGGAAGAAGAAAAAATACAATCACTTGAAGCAGAAGAAACTCCAAGACAAAAAGAAATTCCAATAAGTTCTTCTAAAATTGTTCAAGAAGCTATAACAGTGGGCGCAATAGCTCATTTGGATGATAATGTCAATGCATTAAAAGCGGACATTGACATTGTACCCCACTCAGCTGTCATTAACAAAGAAGTTCTTAGTAATGAAAGTGAAAAGGGTTACGAAAAAATAGCGGATTTGTCTGCCACAGCTGTCCCTCTTATTGATAGCAATGAAGCTATCCAAATATCAGAACAAAATATTCACGATATTCCAGAACAAATTGAAGATAAATTTCAACCTGTTAGTTCAAGTGCACGGAAAACACTACAACCACATGAAGGTATTCAAATCGAGCAAGTGACTTTAGGAGACAGTTCCGATAAATTTGACGAGCATTTTATTCCTCAAAATAAAGCTGTCTTATCCGTTCTTCCCCAAGAAGCTAAGACAATTACGGAAACACAAGTGTCTCAAAAAGAAAAATATTTTGAGACCCCTACTGCAGAAACAGCGAAACCTTTGGAGCTAAATACTTCTATTATATACTCAGAAGCTACATCCACAAGTGAGGTAGCTGAAACTAATGAAAAAGTAGAACATATACAAGCTACTGTTGATCTCTTACCGCTTAACGCAATTCTAGAACAAACTGTACTAGCAGAAGAAAAAGAAAGATCAGGTAAAGATTTCCAGCCCAACATATCAGTTGCTACTAAATCAATAGACAGCGTAGAAGCGTTTGAAATCACGGAAACAACTATTCAAAATACAACCGGAGATTACACTATTGAACAAAAACCTTCCATGTCAACTGCTTCATCTGAAATTATTTCCAAGGAAGGAATTTTAGTACAAGAACATAATCTAGCAGATGTACCGAGTGATTTACAAACAGTTGAAACTGTGAAAGAGCTAGCCAATGTTGGAATAATACCACAAGAGGCTAAATACATATCTGATATACAGGTGTCTCAAAAAGAAGTCGATCTTGATGAGTTTTATAAACCAAAAGGAGTTTATGCTGAAACTGCATTTTCTACTAAAGAAAGCATAACCGTGGAGGAAGTACAACAAGGAATGGCAGAAGAAGGTTTATCTTTGCCTAAACCAACTGGCGTTAAACCAAAATACAACATTGACGTTAGAGAGCCTTTGACAGTAGAAGAAGTTCTGGCTGAAGATAAACCCGGTAAACATCTTCCAGAAGCTTTCGTAGCAACTGAAATTGCTGCCAAAACGATCATTCCTCAAAAATCACTGTCTCAACATCAAACCGTAGCTCCTGAATTAGAAGGAGAGTATATACCTGGCAGATTACCCCCCGCTCAAACAGCACTATTGAATGTTTCTAGTGAAGAAGGAGTAATTGTTTCACAAACTGAAATATCGGAGAAAGAAAAAGAATTAGACAAATTTAGACCAGAAGAAAGCGTACAAGCACTAGAGAATATAATTCTTTCAGAAGGAGTAACAGTAAGTGTGATAGATTCGCAACAACCACAAAGAGATCTTACTGTTGAAGAATTTAATTATCAAAAGAGTACCGTGGAAATTTCTCCACTAGAGTCAATTGTATCTCAAACCACTTTCTATAATGAACGAGAAAATAAATATGAAGAAGAACAGCCTGCACTTAAAAATGCTGATTCTTCATTTACTGTAATAGAAACTACCAGCAAAACAGTTACAACGGTACACGAATCTGAGGCTGAATTACCAGCAGAATCTAAACCAACGAAAATACAAGCCGAACAATCTATTTCTCCAAATCAACCGCTAAATATTGAAGAAGTAGAAACAAGCGAATTGCCCGATAACTTTAAAGACTATCCTAAGTTCAGCACAGACGTAGCCCTAGTTGATATTGAAACCAGCGAAGCTACTAGAATTACAGAAACAAATATAATTGAATCAGAGGATGTATACGAAGCTTCTCCGAAAGAAAGCTTTACTGTAGAAACTTCATTAACATCACCACATCAACAAGTTGAAGTTACAGAATCTCAATCTTTAGAAAGTGAGAAGGAACTGAGTAAATTCGAACTGCCTGATTCTCATCACGTCAAACAAGTCCCAACAAATCTTCTACCGACAGGTATAACAGAAGAAACAATAACAGATGATAGTATCGACATTTTGAAGGCTCTTCAAACTGATGAAGGCCGAGCTGAATGTATTCAAGCTTTACATAAAGAAGTTATTATTTCTGAAGCTGTTACTTCTGAAGATATAGAAACCATAAAATCAGTTGATACTGATTCTAAACAAGCCTTACAGACTCTTTTGCCAAATGAGGCTATAAATATAACTGAAGTAACAGTGGAAGATAGCGAAAAACAGTATATGCCAGAAGAATTACCAGCTGGCGTTCAAGCTTCTTTAGATATTTCTTTCCAGCAAGTGGCTAGTCATCTGATAACGGAGACTCACGAATTACCAAGTGATTTAAAGATCATTGAATCGCTGCCAGCTAAAGCTAATACAGAACAAGAGAGTTTAAGTACTTTGCAAGTTACTGAATACGAAACGGCTGAAAAAGAAAAGGAATATGTCGAAACTAAACCAGAAACTAAAAATATCACTATTAACTTAACAGACTTGCTTACTGGAGCAAAAGTATCACAGGTTTTACTAAATGAAAAAGAAGAATTATGTGATGATCAACCAAAGCCATTGCAGGTTTTAGCTTCTAAAGCACTGGAGCTTCAAGAAGTAATTGTTACTTCAGAAATAGAAAGTGTCGTTCATGCCGACTTTATAGAAGACGAAGAAATTCCAACAGGTCGCGCGAAAAAATACACTAAGCCCTTCAATGAGCTGGTAGTTACAGAAACTAACATAACAGATGTGGAAAAAGTATTTACCGCTGATCAATTACCTTACTCAAAGCAAGCCAATGTTGATATTTTACCAGGGCAAGCGATATCTGTCACTGAAACAATTGTTGATCAAAAAGAAAGTGATTTAAAAGTTCCCGAAGTTGAGTCATCATCGGCTTTAATTAATTTTGATGAACAGAAATTAGCAGTTAAAGAAGAATTGTTCACAGGAGTTGTACCAAGTATTTTAAAACAAGAAACACCAGAATCTGTTATTGCTGCTACTACTCAGGATTTAGTAGTTTCTTTGATACAAACAGAAATTACAATTGGAGAGAAAGAAACTGAGAAGCTTCAAGATATTGTACCTGATAAAAAACATGCACATGTAGAAATTTCAGAAACAACAAGTTTGAATGTTACAGAGGTTACGGCAGATGACAAGGAAAAATCTTGGATGAAACACAAACGCCACAAGGTGTTGAAGGGAAGCCAAGTGTTGTTCCATATGTAAGTGCTGTGACGGAACAAATTTTATCTGGAGAAAGCATGAGCCAACTTGACGATAGGTCTTTCGTTACAGAAAAGGCACAAGAAGACTTTTTAGCAATCGACAGCTTAACTACTACAGAAGCTATTACTTTTGAAACGGAAAACCAGCTTACTGAAATTCAACCATCAACTAAACAAGCTCATTCTGAGTTTCAGCCAGCAGAAGGTATAGCAGTAACGACTGTTATATCGGAACAAAAAGAAGAAACCTTGGTAAAAGAACCACTTGATTTAAAAGCAGCTGATTCTTCTTTAATTCCTCAAGATATCATTCAGGTTCAAGAAACTATAGCACACGATAACGTCAATGAATTTGAAAAGGAAATTACGGACGTTCATTCCGCTACACAAGTACAATTAGAGCACCAAAGCTTGATTAGTACAGAAGCTGTTATTGGTGAAAGTGAAAATATTTTAATAGAAAAAGAGGAGCCGTTAAAACATACAGCGGATGTTCAATTTGAAAATTTGACAACATCTCAAATTTCAGAGATAATTCCATCTGAAAAGGAAGATTCTTATGAAACTGTCAAAACTAGCGACGCAAAGACAGCAACGTCAGCAATAGATGTTCAACCAGTAGCAGAAACTACCGTTACAGAGATTGAAGAATCGGTTAGTAATGTTAAAACAGACGAAACTGTTCCAATAAAAGCAGAGATTGAGCAAACCACTGTTGAAGCTGTGGTACAAACAAAAACTTTAGTTCAAGAATCGGAGACATATTTTGATAAACCAGATCTGGTTTCCAAAAGTGCAGATGTGTCATTTATTACCGATCAAAGTGTCACTATTACCCAGACCATTACCAATGAAGCAGAATCTTCGTTGGAACCATTATCTCAACCAGATGCAATGTTAGCATCTACCGATTGGGAAACTCATAGTATTCCTTTAAAAACCGAACACAATATAATGGATAGTATCAAAAACATTGATTTAGAAGAGCCTTTAGCAGTTAGTGCAACTACTGAATTATCTACATTACCCACTGCACTAAAATTTGAAACTATAGTATCTGAATTGGAAAGTGATTCACCAGCTGAACAGAAACCGGATAGCCAAGAGGTCTCCATATCTATAAAAGAAGGTGAGTCCATTACCGTCGAAACAGTAACAGCTCACGAAAATGAAACAGAATTATTGAAACTAGATTTAAATGAAAAATTTGCTGCTACCAACATTACTGACGCGAAGAGCATAGTGTCTCAATCACAACCTCTTGCCCAAGAAGCATTAGATGATCTTGTTACAGAGTTATCGCATCAGAGTAAAGCTGCCGAACTTTCAATTCCTCTGGATTACATAACAGTGCAAGAACAAACACCGGTTGATAACGAAGAGGAACTTGTATTACCTAAACAAGCAGTTGAAGCTTTGGCTTCAGTAGACTTCGAAACAAAAGAATCAATTTCTACAAGTGAAGAAATTGTAGGTCTAAAAGAAGATGTACTTAGCCAGTTTAGTTTACCGGAATTAAAACAAGCCCAACCATATATTGACGTTGTGCATAAAGTTGTTGAGCACCATTTAAGTGATGTTGTGGAAAGTACGGGTTTGCATAAAACTCCAGTACTAGAGGAATCAGTTGCCAAAGAAAAAGACGAAGTTTTAAATTCTCTTATGATTAGTGAAAACCTTTCACAAGAAAAAGAAACGGAATTTACAGGAGAATTTAAGCCATTTACAAGTGAAGCAACTGTTAGCTTAGAAGAAAAATCACAAGGTTTGACTATAACTGAAATTATTCCTCAAGATAGAGAGGAGATTTTAGAGGATTTTGCTGCCAAATCAAGCCAAAAAGCAAATCTTGAATATAATTTAATGACAGTTCCTGAACAATCAGAAATATGTACAGAAGATACATTTAAAAAGCTAGTGACTGTATCAGATGATTCCTCAATTGCAAATGTAGAAACTATACCGTATAAGGGACTAGTTGAAACAGTTCATCAAGTTCAAGAAAAAGAAGGAGAATATCAAAAAATTGAAATGTTAGAAAAACAAGCGGAAACCAAAATAGATACGGAGTCAGCTGTATCGGCAATGCAAATAATAGCTGCTGAAACTGAAAAGTCTTTAGACCGATTTAAGGAACCTGAAGCCGTTATAGCCATACCTTCAATTCTAGAGAAAAAAACAGCTGAAACTACAGAAGTGCTAACACACCAAATAACGGGTGAAGTTAAGTCGGATATTATTGTAACGGCAACAGCTTTTCCAGAATATAGTCCTTCAGAAAGTATTACCAGAACTGAAACAACAGTAATTGAAAACATCGATGATTTCAATACTGCACTAAAACTAAACACTGTCAGCGCTCAAGAAAAACTAGACGTACTTTCAGAAATATCGGTAAGTGAGACGCACACAGAGGCTGTGGCTTCAGAATTCAATGTCGAAGCAGATATGCCTACTGGTAAGGCGGAAACTCTTTTAGATGCCATTAAACATCTGCAAGCATCTGAAGTGCAAACCTCTGAAAATATAACAGAGTTACAAATACCAGAAATATCAAAATCTATGGTACAAGTTCGACATGATGAACATGAAAGTATTATTTCACAAGAAAATATCGTACACGAAACCGAAAAAGAATTTACTGATACTCCCGTAGTAGATTATAAAACAGCTAGCAAAACAATTCCAGAAGTAGATAGTATATCTATATCTGAAGTAATGATCCGTGAAACAGAAATACCTCTGCAAGCGAAAGAACTCGACGAGAAAAAATCTGAAATTAGTATAGTACCCATGAAACCTCTAATACAGACCGAAGTTATAACTGGTGATGCAGCAAATAAATTTGACTCTGAAAGTACCTTTATAGATACCGCAGTACCTTCCCAAGATCAATGCGAAAGTATTATTATTTCTGAGAATGTAATTCAAGAATCCGAGAAAACTTTTGATAGAGAAGAGGTAACCAGTAAAACCGTTAATATCGAATTAGTACCAGGAGAGTACGTTTCAGTAAGTGAAATAGTAGCCAATGAAAGAGAAGAAATGTTTACAGATAAACCAGCCATAACTTCCGCAGCTGAAAAATCTTTTGTTCCACAGGAAGCCACTCAAATTACAGAAGTAAGAACAGATCTAGGCATAAACGAGTTTGATGTTCCTAGTGCTGAAGAAAAATATGCTTCTAAAGATCATATTACACTAAATACCCTTAACATTACAGAAACCGTTATTACAGAAACGGAATCTCATTTCGAAATCAGTAAACCTGATTCTGAGCAGTCAGTAGATATAACGTTAGAGAAACCTTGCACGACAGCTGAAATTTTACAAGTTGTAACAAATCAAAGTGAAGCACCTTTAACTCATGACAAATACAATGAAACACGTGCATCATCTTCTATAATTGAACATATCGTAGCTGAAGGAAAAAGCATCAAACCACTAGAAAACATATCAGATCTACCGGTAGAGGAACAATTAGTATTTCAACAAGCCACTCCTCATCGAGATGTTGTACATGGTGTTACCGAAACAACTGTTTTAACACATGCAAATACTGACGACATTTCAACTAAATTACCGGAATCTAGAATTGCTAGTAAGACATTAAGTTTACATGAGGGAATAACTATAACAGAAGTAACAACACATGGACAAACAGGCCAAGAAATCCTAGAATCTTCTGCTACCGAAACAACCGCTACAAAAGATATCGAGCATAAAAGATCTATAATAACTGAAGAAATTACTTCGTATCAGTCTCATGATACAATAGATTCAATGAAACCTATTTTTCATAAAGGTCACTTAAATTATGCCGATTTTCCTCAACATGAACTTATTATAACGGATCAAGCTCCTTCAGATGATATAGGCTACATTGAAAGTTTACAGCCTACCTCAAAAACTGTAAAAATTGTAATGGATGAAGTATCTCCTAGCCTACAGATAAGCGAAGTAGTACTTCATGAACAAGAGGGTAAGTGTGCACAACAAACCATTAATAGGTTCTTCATATCATACACAAAACACATAAAACACTTTTCTTTTAATACATGTTACTATATACACATAAAATTACAGGAACACTGGAGGCACCCGATATACACAAAACACAAGCTAGACACACATTTGTAAGAGGAGAGGATAATGTTGTTGAACATCTAACACCAAACATTCAACAACATACAGACACTGAAGAAACACAAGAAATTATTACCAAATTTAGGTCAGCACCAGATGGTTCAGAAAATATAACGGTGGTAGAGCGCAAAACAGTAATAAGAAATAAAAAAACAAAACGTCAAGACGGTGGTGAGGGTGATATCATAATTGAAGAAATATTAGATGAAATTCATCCCAACACTAAACAAATATCGTCCAATGTGGATATTGTAGAAGTGGACACAAACACTACAGAATATATTCCAACTGGAGAAGACACAGCAACTAAGCACATAGAGATATCCAAAGAGGAAACTCTTGAGAAACCGACATACGTGGTAGAGGAATTGCCTGAAAATATCCAAGAAACTGAAGTAGTCACAATCGATGGTAAAAAGAAAAAGGTTATTAAAAAACGAATTATCAAAAAAATCAAAGACGGAAAAGAGGAACAAACAGAAATTGTAACTGTTGAAGAAGAAGGAAAGAAACCAGAAATAACGGTGACTGTACAAGAACTAGAGACACCCGAGGAAGTAACTTCAGAAAAACCGACATATGTAGTCGAAGAATTGCCTGAAGATATCCAAGAAACTGAAGTAGTTACAATTGATGGTAAGAGGAAGAAGAAGGTTATTAAAAAACGAATTATCAAGAAAATTAAGGATGGAAAAGAGGAAAAAACAGAAATTGTAACTGTTGAAGAAGAAGGCAAAAAGCCAGAAACAACGGTGACTGTACAAGAACAAGAGGCACCTGAGGAAGTAACTCCAGAAAAACCGACATATATAGTCGAAGAATTACCTGAAGATATCCAAGAAACTGAAGTAGTCACAATTGATGGTAAGAAGAAGAAGAAGGTTATTAAAAAACGAATTATCAAGAAGATCAAAGACGGAAAAGAGGAAAAGACAGAAATTGTAACTGTTGAAGAAGAAGGCAAAAAGCCAGAAACAACGGTGACTGTACAAGAAGAAGAGTCTCCCGATGAAGTAATTCCAGAAAAACCGACATATGTAGTCGAAGAATTGCCTGAAGATATCCAAGAAACTGAAGTAGTTACAATTGATGGTAAGAGGAAGAAGAAGGTTATTAAAAAACGAATTATCAAGAAAATTAAGGATGGAAAAGAGGAAAAAACAGAAATTGTAACTGTTGAAGAAGAAGGCAAAAAGCCAGAAACAACGGTGACTGTACAAGAACAAGAGGCACCTGAGGAAGTAACTCCAGAAAAACCGACATATATAGTCGAAGAATTACCTGAAGATATCCAAGAAACTGAAGTAGTCACAATTGATGGTAAGAGGAAGAAGAAGGTTATTAAAAAACGAATTATCAAGAAAATTAAGGATGGAAAAGAGGAAAACACAGAAATTGTAACTGTTGAAGAAGAAGGCAAAAGGCCAGAAACAACGGTGACAGTACAAGAATTAGAGGCACCTGAAGAAGTAACCTCCAACAAACCAACATACGTGGTCGAGGAATTGCCTGAAGATGTCCAAGAAACCGAAGTAGTCACAATCGATGGTAAGAAGAAGAAAAAGGTTATTAAAAAACGTATTATCAAGAAGATCAAAGACGGAAAAGAGGAAAAAACAGAGATTGTCACTGTTGAAGAAGAAGGCAAAAAGCCAGAAACAACGGTAACTGTACAAGAACTAGAAGCACCCGAGGAAGTAACTCCAGAAAAACCGACATATGTAGTCGAAGAATTGCCTGAAGATATCCAAGAAACCGAAGTAGTCACAGTTGATGGTAAGAAGAAGAAAAAGGTTATTAAAAAACGAATTATCAAGAAAATTCAGGATGGAAAAGAGGAAAAAACAGAAATTGTAACTGTTGAAGAAGAAGGCAAAAAGCCAGAAACAACGGTGACTGTACAAGAACTAGAGGCACCCGAGGAAGAAACTCCAGAAAAACCGACATATGTAGTCGAAGAATTGCCTGAAGATATCCAAGAAACTGAAGTAGTCACAGTTGATGGTAAGAAGAAGAAAAAGGTTATTAAAAAACGAATTATCAAGAAAATTAAGGATGGAAAAGAGGAAAAAACAGAAATTGTAACTGTTGAAGAAGAAGGCAAAAAGCCAGAAACAACGGTAACTGTACAAGAACTAGAAGCACCCAAGGAAGTAACTCCAGAAAAACCGACATATGTAGTCGAAGAATTGCCTGAAGATATCCAAGAAACCGAAGTAGTTACAGTTGATGGTAAGAAGAAGAAGAAGGTTATTAAAAAACGAATTATCAAGAAAATTAAGGATGGAAAAGAGGAAAAAACAGAAATTGTAACTGTTGAAGAAGAAGGCAAAAAGCCAGAAACAACGGTGACTGTACAAGAACTAGAGGCACCCGAGGAAGAAACTCCAGAAAAACCGACATATGTAGTCGAAGAATTGCCTGAAGATATCCAAGAAACCGAAGTAGTCACAGTTGATGGTAAGAAGAAGAAAAAGGTTATTAAAAAACGTATTATCAAGAAGATCAAGATGGAAAAGAGGAAAAAACAGAGATTGTAACTGTTGAAGAAGAAGGCAAAAAGCCAGAAACAACGGTGACTGTACAAGAACTAGAAGCACCCAAGGAAGTAACTCCAGAAAAACCGACATATGTAGTCGAAGAACTGCCTGAAGATATCCAAGAAACCGAAGTAGTTACAGTTGATGGTAAGAAGAAGAAGAAGGTTATTAAAAAACGAATTATCAAGAAAATTAAGGATGGAAAAGAGGAAAAAACAGAAATTGTAACTGTTGAAGAAGAAGGCAAAAAGCCAGAAACAACGGTGACTGTACAAGAAGAAGAGGCTCCCGAGGAAGTAACTCTAGAAAAACCGACATTTGTAGTCGAAGAACTGCCTGAAGATATCCAAGAAACGGAAGTAGTTACAATTGATGGTAAGAGGAAGAAGAAGGTTATTAAAAAACGAATTATCAAGAAAATTAAGGATGGAAAAGAGGAAAAAACAGAAATTGTAACTGTTGAAGAAGAAGGCAAAAAGCCAGAAACAACGGTGACTGTACAAGAACTAGAGGCACCCGAGGAAGAAATTCCAGAAAAACCGACATATTAGTCGAAGAATTGCCTGAAGATATTCAAGAAACCGAAGTAGTCACAGTTGATGGTAAGAAGAAGAAAAAGGTTATTAAAAAACGAATTATCAAGAAAATTAAGGATGGAAAAGAGGAAAAAACAGAAATTGTAACTGTTGAAGAAGAAGGCAAAAAGCCAGAAACAACGGTGACTGTACAAGAACTAGAGGCACCCGAGGAAGAAATTCCAGAAAAACCGACATATGTAGTCGAAGAATTGCCTGAAGATATCCAAGAAACCGAAGTAGTCACAGTTGATGGTAAGAAGAAGAAAAAGGTTATTAAGAAACGTATTATAAAGAAGATCAAAGACGGAAAAGAGGAAAAAACAGAGATTGTAACTGTTGAAGAAGAAGGCAAAAAGCCAGAAACAACGGTGACTGTACAAGAACTAGAGGCTCCCGAGGAAGAAATTCCAGAAAAACCGACATATGTAGTCGAAGAATTACCTGAAGATATCCAAGAAACTGAAGTAGTTACAATTGATGGTAAGAAGAAGAAAAGGTTATTAAAAAACGAATTATCAAGAAAATTAAAGATGGAAAAGAGGAAAAAACAGAAATTGTAACTGTTGAAGAAGAAGGCAAAAAGCCAGAAACAACGGTGACTGTACAAGAACTAGAGGCACCCGAGGAAGAAATTCCAGAAAAACCGACATATGTAGTCGAAGAATTGCCTGAAGATATCCAAGAAACCGAAGTAGTCACAATTGATGGTAAGAAGAAGAAAAAGGTTATTAAAAAACGTATTATAAAGAAGATCAAAGACGGAAAAGAGGAAAAAACAGAGATTGTAACTGTTGAAGAAGAAGGCAAAAAGCCAGAAACAACGGTGACTGTACAAGAACTAGAGGCACCCGAGGAAGAAATTCCAGAAAAACCGACATATGTAGTCAAAGAATTACCTGAAGATATCCAAGAAACTGAAGTAGTTACAATTGATGGTAAGAGGAAGAAGAAGGTTATTAAAAAACGAATTATCAAGAAAATTAAGGATGGAAAAGAGGAAAAAACAGAAATTGTAACTGTTGAAGAAGAAGGCAAAAAGCCAGAAACAACGGTGACTGTACAAGAACTAGAGGCACCCGAGGAAGAAATTCCAGAAAAACCGACATATGTAGTCGAAGAACTGCCTGAAGATATTCAAGAAACCGAAGTAGTCACAATTGATGGTAAGAAGAAGAAGAAGGTTATTAAAAAACGAATTATCAAGAAAATTAAGGATGGAAAAGAGGAAAAAACAGAAATTGTAACTGTTGAAGAAGAAGGCAAAAAGCCAGAAACAACGGTGACTGTACAAGAACTAGAGGCACCCGAGGAAGAAACTCCAGAAAAACCGACATATGTAGTCGAAGAATTACCTGAAGATATCCAAGAAACTGAAGTAGTTACAATTGATGGTAAGAGGAAGAAGAAGGTTATTAAAAAACGAATTATCAAGAAAATTAAGGATGGAAAAGAGGAAAAAACAGAAATTGTAACTGTTGAAGAAGAAGGCAAAAAGCCAGAAACAACGGTGACTGTACAAGAACTAGAGGCTCCCGAGGAAGAAATTCCAGAAAAACCGACATATGTAGTCGAAGAACTGCCTGAAGATATTCAAGAAACTGAAGTAGTCACAGTTGATGGTAAGAAGAAGAAAAAGGTTATTAAAAAACGTATTATAAAGAAGATCAAAGACGGAAAAGAGGAAAAAACAGAGATTGTAACTGTTGAAGAAGAAGGCAAAAAGCCAGAAACAACGGTGACTGTACAAGAACTAGAGGCTCCCGAGGAAGAAATTCCAGAAAAACCGACATATGTAGTCGAAGAATTACCTGAAGATATCCAAGAAACTGAAGTAGTTACAATTGATGGTAAGAGGAAGAAGAAGGTTATTAAAAAACGAATTATCAAGAAAATTAAGGATGGAAAAGAGGAAAAAACAGAAATTGTAACTGTTGAAGAAGAAGGCAAAAAGCCAGAAACAACGGTGACTGTACAAGAACTAGAGGCACCCGAGGAAGAAACTCCAGAAAAACCGACATATGTAGTCGAAGAATTGCCTGAAGATATTCAAGAAACCGAAGTAGTCACAGTTGATGGTAAGAAGAAGAAAAAGGTTATTAAAAAACGTATTATAAAGAAGATCAAAGACGGAAAAGAGGAAAAAACAGAGATTGTAACTGTTGAAGAAGAAGGCAAAAAGCCAGAAACAACGGTGACTGTACAAGAACTAGAGGCACCCGAGGAAGAAACTCCAGAAAAACCGACATATGTAGTCGAAGAATTACCTGAAGATATCCAAGAAACTGAAGTAGTTACAATTGATGGTAAGAGGAAGAAGAAGGTTATTAAAAAACGAATTATCAAGAAAATTAAGGATGGAAAAGAGGAAAAAACAGAAATTGTAACTGTTGAAGAAGAAGGCAAAAAGCCAGAAACAACGGTGACTGTACAAGAACTAGAGGCACCCGAGGAAGAAACTCCAGAAAAACCGACATATGTAGTCGAAGAATTGCCTGAAGATATTCAAGAAACCGAAGTAGTCACAGTTGATGGTAAGAAGAAGAAAAAGGTTATTAAAAAACGTATTATAAGAAGATCAAAGACGGAAAAGAGGAAAAAACAGAGATTGTAACTGTTGAAGAAGAAGGCAAAAAGCCAGAAACAACGGTGACTGTACAAGAACTAGAGGCACCCGAGGAAGTAACTCCAGAAAAACCGACATATGTAGTCGAAGAATTGCCTGAAGATATCCAAGAAACTGAAGTAGTCACAATTGATGGTAAGAGGAAGAAGAAGGTTATTAAAAAACGAATTATCAAGAAAATTAAGGATGGAAAAGAGGAAAAAACAGAAATTGTAACTGTTGAAGAAGAAGGCAAAAAGCCAGAAACAACGGTGACTGTACAAGAACTAGAGGCTCCCGAGGAAGAAATTCCAGAAAAACCGACATATGTAGTCGAAGAATTGCCTGAAGATATTCAAGAAACCGAAGTAGTCACAGTTGATGGTAAGAAGAAGAAAAAGGTTATTAAAAAACGAATT